TGAGAACTCCGAGCTCTTCTTGTCTTTGAGCTAAACCTTGAATGGCAGTCACCTGCCCCAGCATCTGGGCTTTCATTGCATCCACTTCAGCTTGCAGACGTTTCAGCCGTTCATCCTCAGCGCTGTTCCTGACCAAAGTCCCCATGAGAAGTGTTCTCAGCTCCTCCTGCCCCTTGGATAGATTCAGGAGGATTTCCTCGAACCGAGTCTCTTGAGCAAGAAGGTCCTGGTTGTATTGTCGGGAAGCCATTGCTGAAATAAACAGCGCAGATGGTAAGTGGCCTGTCAAAAGGGTACCTGTAATGCAATGATATGTATGATATGCATGCAATGTTTTCAAGGACCTCGCGGGGTAAACAAGAAATTTGTTAGAGCTTGAATCTGGTGGCTTGATTGAAGGAACTTCATGTTATTGAGAGTCCTTCTTCAAAGGGTCAAAGGCTCACCATATCCAGTGGGTCATAGCCTCTGACTCAGATCCTCAACCTGGCTAGAGGAAAATAAATCCCCTTTGCCCCTTGCTAGACATTCTGGTTCATCATAACCTGCATCACAACCCCTTGAGATCCTTGAAATGGGTTAGGATGTATGCAATGGTATGATGTTATGGTATGCATGGAGTAATATGGATAAACCCTGTTATGAGTCCAGATTAAGGACTGTAAACAAAACCTGCAAGAAACTCAAGTGTCAGATAACAAGTATGCAAATAGTCAAGTTGGAAGGCACACAAGTCACACAAGAGAAGCCCTTAGAGTTTAGGCCAGCATGGGGTCTAGGTACTACCCTCTTTCAGTTTGTTGGTTCATACCTGTCCTATCAAAAGTAACTGGGTTCTTAGAGGATCCCAATATCATTGACTACCCTCAATCGGTCATAACTCCAGCATCGCAATCTTTTCTTGCGGCCAGAACCATCACGAGAGTTTAGCCTCAATGGGCGTAGCATACTGCTACTGTTCTAATGGCCAAGTTGTGTCATTTAAGGTTCTAAGGTCTGTTGGTGCTTAATGACTCCTCAGAAGACCCATATTCTCCTCGTTGCGACACAAGGGATATCGGTACAGACCAAGGTGCCACACCAATGTAGCCACTGCTTCACCCATGTCGGTCTACGCCGGACAGGTCCCTCACAGCTCATGCTACCTAAACAGGGTATCCCCAGATCCGGGTTAGGATCTATGTAACTCCCATGCAACCCACAATTTAAAGCAAACAAGTCAATACAATTGAAAACACAGTGATCTTAGTCCTAAGGTACACCTCACTTTAAGTGTCCCCAGCAGAGTCGCCAGTTCTGTGATCGGTGGATCTGGAACTGACTGTTTAACGCTGGTTCGTGAAATGTCGCGGAAGCAAGAGTCGCCACCGTCTTTTATTTTCTCCAACATGGAAAGGACAAAAGCACAGAAAAATTCCTTATAGAGATTGCTCTCGGTTTCGGGAGGTAGATTTATAGAAAGGGAAGGTGTTAGCACCCTTTCTATCCATGGTTATCCATGGGCTCTTAGATACTTGCTCATTTGTGTTTTCAAAATGTTTGTTTGCTTTTCAACTGTGGGTTTAAAAAAAGTTTCGTTTAAAATTTCAGTTCGACTCTTGTATCAGTCCTCAAGAGTGTTTGAAAAGTTGTTTATGAAAGCTTTTTGAAAAGTGTCGGTGTGAAAAGAGTTTTTGATTTGTTTTGAATTCAGAGCAAGTATCTACGAGTCATCTACCTACCCTAAGGAATTCGTCTGTGTAAATGTCCTTAAAGTAGTGCCATCCCACCATTGAGAGGTAGGTAGCACCACCGTTGGAGGTGTTCGGGTCAATTCGAGGGTTCGGGACAGTGTGGTCACCAGATCAATAGGAAGACACCTTAGAAGCTACCCCCATGCCATGTTCATGGACATGAGGACTTACTAAAACGTCCTCTACTCGACGACCACGTTTCGATGGGCAAGGCAACAGTGAGGCGTACCCTAGGGGTGGTGTGTGAATTGTGTATTATTTTCAATTATGTTTATCTTGTCATGCATTGGTGATCTACGCTTTGTTTTTATTTTTTACTCTTTCATGTGGTTATTAACAGTTAAAAGGTGCGGAATTAAAAGTCCTACGCTATTACAAAGGCGCGGGTCAACATCGCCAAATTAAACCAAGACCCGATTTGAAATAAAAAAAATGCGGAAAGTAAATATTCTAATTATCTATTACAAAGCTTTGGGGCAATTACATGAAATTTAAAAAAAGAAATAAAAGTAAATGTGCGAAAAGAAATAAAATCGAGAATGCGAGGGCGTTGGACCCTTTTAAAGAAATTAAATCGAAATTATAAATTAATTAAATTAAATAAATCAAGAACTTATTTTTTGGAGTTTTTGTATTTATGGAATTTAATGAGAAAATTAAATGGAATTAAAACCCTAATTCTAAGCATTTTTTAATTATTAAAGAAATAAGTTCAAGTTTGACCTAATTTACATTAATTATTTAAATGGCATATTTATTTACAAAAATAATTAATAATTAATATGGTGAAAAAGGAATAAAAGTATAAAAACCCTAATTTCTACATTTTTTAGTTTATTTTAAAAAAAAGCATTAAAATTAAACCTAAAATTAAAACTAAGTTAATTATTAAATTTATTTACAAAATAAAACATTAGGGAATTAAATAATAAAATATATTTTTATTTTTTGACTTTCTGATTTTTTTTTGTATTTTATGAAAATTATTTGAAATAAATTAAATAAAAGTGTTCAAAAGAATTAAAAAAAAAAAAAAAGAGAAGAAAAGAAATTAAAAGAATATGCAAACATTGGGGGTGTTGACCCAAATGGAGGAGGTTGATCTGCAGTAATTTGGCCCAATAGAAGCTTGGCCACGTTGACTTTTCTGGCTTGTATGCACATGGTTGACTGAGGGTACATCGTGGACTACGTGATCTGGCCATTGGATGAATCTCCCTGGCGCGTGGCAGGCACAAACGTTGACGCCTATGGTACTCCCTTGAGTGTGGTGATCACCTGAACACGTAAACATAAAAAATATAGAGGAATATGGGGACCTGGGAATCGAACCCAGGTCCTAGTGCTTGAAGGACAACGCATCAACCAACCAACCAAGCGCGTTTGTTTGTCAATTATATGGAACGCGAATATTATAAGAAAAGATAAAAGTTAATGGTCTGAACCAATAAAATCACGCGCCAATTTTGAATAGCCCAATAACCTCTAGCCACGCATGCTTCTTCTCCATGTTATACCTGCAACTAGAATCAAATAGCGGGGGTTTTAAACCCCCACTAACTACAACACACAATAATAGCGATTAGAATCTGGCTCATCATAAATTGAGCGCGAGGCATAGATTTTGTCCTTCAGGACGTCATGATTTCAATGGTGTATGCCTTGCTGCCTAATTTTTCCATATGCAAAAGTCCCCAATTTCACATCTTTGAAACCCTAACGAGCTCCCATGGTAACTTTGCATACAGGCAATGATAATTCAATTAAATAGCACCAATAGATTCAGAATGTCCATGTTAGTATAAAACAATAGTTTAAATGTATGAAAAATGTCCAGAAATCCAAACACGATTATGCATAATTTTGAAAGGGAAGCAACTCGGTTTTACCAATTCTTTATGTATGGAGAGTGGAAGATGATTGAGGCACGTCCAAAAATGTCCCAGCAAGCCTTTGGAATACTTTTTTGGCCTTGAAGAGCACTCTAGCTATGAAATCAGTTTTGCAATTTTTGGTGAAAAATGCAAAGTTTGTTTGTTATTCTGAGCGCAGCTTTTAGGTCCTCAGCATTAGGGTTGTGTTTGTGTATGTATATGGAACGAATTAGGGTAGAAATCCAAGTCCATTAACCTTTGCAATCAATGTTCCAATATTTGATTTTAATGGTATCTTTTTCAATCTTTTTCATACCATTCTTATGCCAATCAATGGAGATTCTTGCCATATTGAGTGTGCACGAAATCTTGAGTGAGTAGATGAGAGAATATGCTGCAAAAAAGATTTAAAACACATGCTTTGCTATTTTTGTCATATTTTATTTTAATTAAATGAATTAATGGTGATAAAAATTCAAATAAATAATAAAAAATGATGAAATAACTCCCCTTTGGGTCAATGGGTCGTGCATAACTTTTGGATGATGATTCTTGGAAGAAAATGAGGCCCATTAGCAATTTTGAGGCATTTGAAGCAAAGTTGACTTTTCAAAATTCCCAAAATTTCCCAACTTCCACAAGGCATATCTTGCTCAATTTTTAAGCTTTGATCATGTTCTTGGACATTTTGGAAAGGTCTTGAAGTCCTCTAGCCAATGCCTTTGGTCCCATGTCATTTTGATTTACCAATCTCAAGTTATGTTCTTTGACTTAAAGTGTCTTTTTGTTGACTTTTGAAAATGACCTATAATGTTGAGATTGATAACTTTTTGTGAGAGCATTTCTTGGACTTGAAGTGTGAAGAGGAGTTGTAGGAAATGTATTTCTCTTCAAAATGAGCTTTGGATGGAATTTTTCTGATAAACCATGTGGAAGTTATGCCTTGGTCAAGTTACAGTTGACTTTTTCAACTGTCCAAATATAGAAACTTTTGCATCTTGAGACTTTTTGAGCCATGCCTTGAGAATCATGATCAAGCATTGATCAAATGATGTTTGTGGCTTCAAAATAAGATGTTGACCAAAAATTTGGACTTTTGACTGTCAAATGACCATTTTGCCCCTACAGTTGACTGTTGAGCAATTAGGGTTTTTGACTGTGCAATTTTGTGCTGTAAGTCTTGAAACTTGACATGAGGATACTTGACAATGTTTGTAGGCATGTAGGACTTGATTGGACCCTTGGAAGCTTCAATTTCTTTGCTAGAATCAAAACCCTAATTTTGGCTGTTAGGAGGCCACTGGACTGTGCAACCCTTGAGTGGCCTTTGAACCTTGATCTTTGGCAAATCTTTGAAGAATATGGGAGGGAAAATTTTGGGGTACAACATAACCCAAAATACCCTTGAGTTTACCCTCTGACTCCTCCTTGATAGCAGCTTTGATCTGCTCATAGGTTACGTTCTTCGCAAGCCTGACAGTGAGGTCAACAACTGAAACATCAACGGTAGGAACACGGAATGACATTCCGGTCAATTTACCGTTTAGTTCTGGAAGAACCTTTCCAACAGCCTTGGCAGCTCCAGTGCTGCTGGGAATGATGTTGAAGGAAGCAGCTCTTCTACCTCTCCAGTCCTTGCTTGATGGACCATCAACAGTCTTCTGAGTAGCTGTGATGGAGTGGACAGTGGTCATAAGACCCTCAACAATTCCAAATCGGTCATTGATAACCTTGGCAAGGGGAGCAAGGCAGTTGGTAGTGCATCTAGCATTGGAAACAATGTTAAGGTCTGATTTGTATTCCTTCTCGTTAACACCAACAACAAACATTGGTGCATCTTTGCTTGGGGCAGAAATAACAACCTTCTTAGCACCACCCTTCAAGTGAGCAGCAGCTTTATCCTTGTCAGTGAAAACACCAGTAGACTCAACAACAAAGTCAGCTCCAACTTCACCCCATGGGATCTCCTCAGGGTTCCTAGTTCCGAAAACAGCAACTTCTTTCTCACCGAAAAGAAGGGTTTTAGAGTCCTTGACCTTGAGCTCAAAATGCTTCCACTGGCCATGAACAGAGTCATACTTGAACATATATGTCATGTAATCAGTAGTGATGAAAGGATCGTTGATAGCAACGAGTTCAACATCGTTTCATTGAAGAGCAACTCTCGCAACCAAACGACCGATTCGTCCAAATTCGTTGATACCGATCTTGATTTTTTGTCAGATGCCATGATACTGAGTTGAAAAGTTGTGGAGAAAATAGAATGAGATTAGAGTGTGGTTTTAGTGGCTGCATCCGCCGCGAACAGCTCAGGGGAATCAGTTCTTACGCCAGCATTGGAAGTCTTTCCGTTGGCAGTTTCAAAAGGTACAGCTAATGGTGCTCCTACTTTCTTAAGATGCCGAAGTTTCTCAGATGAACCACACTCAACAGTAACACCCCCATTAGAAGTAGTATTGACTTCTTCAACAGAATTGTTGTTGTCCTTTGCCTTGCTACCACCTTGTTCAGTTTGAGCAGGTCCGCATTTTCCAACAAAATAAGAAGCTGCCTTCTCACAGAAACTGTTTCCATCAAAGACTAAAACCTCAAAGAGTGATTCACCATTGTACTTAAAGACAAGGAAATCATTCTCTTTCAAAGAGTGATCCTTCACAAATCATTCCCAACCGTTCACAAAGTAAACAGAATCATCTCTAATTACCAGCCCTATATTCCACACAACTCCACTAGGACCTTTAAGGACCACATTTTCTGGCAATTTCTTCTTTAAATTGTCATAAAATGTTTTAGGAAGTGCAAGCTGTTGTTGAAAATCGTCGTGCAGAAATTGGGTGAAATGGATGAACTGGAAATGGGTCCAGTAAATGTCCTCCTTTCTTCAAAAGTATTCTCTGCAACATAATTATGCCCAACTCTTTCAACAGGTTTTTGCCATTGTGAATGACTTTTCTCTTCTACCAGTCTAGAAGGTGATTTTGGCTTAGTGTCCCTTGCAACCTGTGATACGGTGGGAGAACTGACTTGAGGTTTTGCGTTTGTTTTCGCAAATGTTTCGGTTGAGCAAGAGTCGCCACCGACTTTTATTTTATCCTAAGGAAAGGTTAAAAAGCACAGCAAAAAACCTTTTGAGATGTTTTCTTGGGTTCGGGGAGTAGATTATAGAAAGGGAAGGTATTAGCACCCTTTCTATCCATGGTTATCCATGGGCTCTTAGTTACTTGCTTAGATCACTTGCCTTTTGTTTTCAATTGTTTTAAATGGTGCTTGAGTGCGTGGGTTTGAAAATGTTTTGAAAAGAGGCCAATGTGGTGGCAACCTTTGTAATGATCCATGTGGGGATGTATACAAAGATGTATGTCTTTTGAAAAGGTTTTCATTTGTTTTTGAAAGTTGTTTTGAAAGTGTAGTGATGTGTGGTTTTTGAAATAGGCAAGTGTTTTTGTTTTGCAAGTTTGATTCAAGTAACTAAGAGGTTATCTACTCCTAAATTTCTCAAAAGATTATTGCTATGTTTTAAACCTCTTAACAAGTTTGTTCCACCATTGTATTTGGTGGACAACCTTGTGTTAGGATGTGAAAGGGACAGGCGCGGGTCATCGTTTAGACCATAATTGCAACGGCGTTAAATGTCTTTGGGCAATTTCTTTAAGGGACTTGATCATTTGTTTTTGTTTGTTTTGAAAAGTTTTGTCGAGGGACTATGATCATTCAAATTGTTTGCTTTTCCCAAAGAAGTTCAACATACAATATGGCCCATTTATTTGAAGGCAACAAGTGGAATACCCTAGGGGTGCAAGTGTGATTTGTGTGTCCATTTTCATGCTTGTTTGTCTTGAGATTAGGTCATAACTATTTTTTATCGTTTTTTCGCATACAAACCCTAATTCTAACATGTTATCATTAGAAAGCAATAAAATGCGAAATTAAATTTACTAAGCTATTACAAAACCAAATATGGGAAGGGGGGTACAAATGTTCAAATGGGGATATTGACAAGAATTTAAATCTACATTATTACATCATTTTGAATATTTGCAAATTAATCAATGTAAAAAATTAAATAAGAATGCAAGATGCAAAAGAAATGTTTTGTATATATATGAAAAAATATTATTTATGTAAAAGAGAAAAGAAAATAAAAATATATTATTTTTTTGGAGTATTTTGAATTTAGGGCAAAAACCCTAATTTTATTAGGAAAAATGTATTATTGTTTAATTTAATACAAACATTTATTTATCATGTACAAAAAATAAAAATAATGAAGTATATTATGAAAAAGTATTTTGTATCAAATATTAATAAAAATGAAAAAAATCAAGTATTTTTATATTTTAGCTTAAATATATTAATAAACATGTATCTATATATATATATTAATTCTTAAGTATGTATTATACACAAAATAATATATATTTAATATTTTAACAAAATAAATAAATAAATAAATATTTTTATGTGAAATATTTTCAGAAGGTAAATAAAAAGATAAAAAATGTATTTACACTATTTTCCTATATTTATTCTAATAATAGTATATATATCATATTTATGTTCAAACAAGAGAAATAAACAAATAAATATGCAATAAATACAAAAAATGATGGAAAAAATATTTTCAAAATTTTAATAAGCTGAGAAAAAATAAACAAGTCAAACAAAAAAAGAAAAAGTCAAAAAGAGTCAAAAATGAAGCAAATGGGCTCAGGGGGTTCATGAGTAATGAAGTGGTGCAAATAAGAAAAATTTCCAGGCCCAGCCCAGAAGACCTGTCTTCTTCAACCTCTGAACAATATCCTTCAAGCAAACACGCGTTTTTTATCTCTGGATTCCTGGACTTTCAAGCAAAACTCATAACATGAAAAGTGTAGAGCATCAAGAGACGGTTTCAACCATGTAAAGAACTTGACCTAACTCTCTAAGATGAGGGAGAATTTCTCCTCCCCCAATTTCTGACCTAACTTTTCATCAATGTTCAGACATGAAATTCTCTAAGCACACGAAATATAAATGAAATCTAATCATATGAGCATGTTTAGGGCTATGATTGTGACATGTTTTCTTCACAAACCTAAATCTAACAATGCCTAATAAGGGAGATAGAACTTCATGAATGTACCTGTTCAGTTGGAATCGAGCTTTACAATGGAGGATGTTTCAGAGTGAAATGATGACTTGTATAGCTTCCTTGAAGTGTAAGGATGCTTTTCCAAGTCCTACTTTGTCTTGAAACTCCCTGAATCGAGCTAGTGAACTCCAACTGCAAAACATAAATTTAAAAATGGTGAAGTGGCTTGGAGGTGTTACAGGTCAGGTTTCAAGTCATGGTTAGCTTGCATAGGTTGTAAGGAAGGTAGAGGAACAGGTTTGGGCAAGAATGCTTGAAGGGATTGAGAGATAGCACTCAATCTGCAGGGGTTGCCCTGTTTGAGCAGTTTCAAGGTGATTCTGAGATGGAGGGTGCTTGAGAGGCCAAGGGCTCGTGTGTTAGCTTGGATATGTTCTATGGAATGTGTTTGATAACTTCTTTCTTGTGTGCTTAAGCTGAGATGAGATATGGTACAAGTTATGGACTTTTCTTGAACTTGAAGCAAACAAAAGCAAGTTGGCTTTCTAGGTTAGTAGAGGACCCCCTAATGTGCTGCATAATCCTCTCTTGATCAGTGTGTTATGCACATAATCTTGTGCCAAGCAGATTTTCCATGTACTTTCTTGATTTGCAATTGGACATAAAGTTAATCTTTTCAAAAATGGAAAGTTCACTTTATCTAGTTTAGGATTAATCTTGCATACAATGCTTGCACTCAAAGAACAACACTCTAACACATTGAATATGCATTAAATTATTGAGTATGGAATGGTTCAAGGACCTGTAATCAAGCATAAAGCAAGCTGAGTTCAAATTTGCAAAGTTATGAACATGTTTTGATGAAGAACAAAAGTGAATTTTTGCCAACTTGTGAAATTCGAATCTCTCAAGTTATGAGGTTGTTTGATGAGTTCTTGGACATTTTGGAAAGCTTGGAATGTGTACTACAATCCATCTTTGAAATGCAAATTAAAATTCCAAGTGGAAGGGTATGAAAAGTGGCCTTGAAGTGGGGTAGAAAACCTTGTCAAAATAGGTTAAAATTTCACTAAGTTAAAAATGGTTTAGTGCCCTTATTCAAAAAATTGTAACTTGAGATACAAGCTTCAAATGAGAAAACTTTGTGAATCAAAGTTGTAGATTATGCAACAAGCTACAACTTTCATGTTTTGACTTTTGTTTGAATCCAAATGGATCTTGGTGAAAAGATGGGGCAAAGTTGGGAAAAAATTAGGGTTTTTCATAACTTAGAAAAATTCTAAGTTATGAAAAATTCCATTTTCTAACCCTAATTTGCATTTTGTGATTTCTTGGTGAACAAGTTTCATGATTTGGCATGTTTTGATGAAAAATGAATCTTGACTCTTGATTTTGACCAAAAAGTCAAAGTTTGACTTTTCAGTATACAGTCAAAATTGATCAATTGACTGGGAAATTCAACTGTCAATCTTGTGTACTTGGGATCTTTTGAGCTTGATGAATGTGTCAAGACCATTTCATTGAGTCCTTGAGTCCATATGTGAGCTTGATTTGCCATTGGCTAGGTCAAACAGTCAAAAACTGCCTTTGTGCAGTCAAAACCCTAAAAATGACCATTTTGCCCTTTTGGTGATCTGATCAAATTTCTTGTGGAATTGTGATCCAAACTTGATCAAATGGTCCATATGAATTCATAATGTTGATGTGGATCAAATTTCATGAGGTTTGACTGTCAATTGGCCACTGTTGACTTTTTCCCCAATACAGCTGATTTCTAGGTCAACTGTCCAATTGACTGGGCAAAACTTGGAATCAAGACTTGAAACTTGGCATGGGTAAACTTGGGAGTTCAATATGAAGCATGAAAGTTATCTTAGGAATTTTTAGGTCAAAACATCCTTGGGCAAACACAAACCCTAATTTGAATCCACAGTGCAAGGAGAAGTCTTGAGCAGAGGAAACCCTAACTGGATCTTGATCTTCAAAGGTCTTGTGATGAGAAAATGTTGAGGAAATGGGAGGGCA